CCCAGCCTTTGGGGTGCCTCCTGTGTGCAGAACCCAGGCAGGTCTTGTCTGTTCAGTGACTTAATCCTCACCAGAGCAATCCAGGGCAGTTGCTGTTATTACCCCACTTGACAGATGAGGAAACTGGCTCAGAGCACTTTGTGCCTCGTAACTTAGGGGGGAGGATCTGCCCCTCTCCCTGGGCTTACCGAAAATGGAGGTCCCACGCAGTGTGTAGCCACCAAAAGTGAAGACATGGGAGTGGTCTGCAGTGACAAGGATCAGCGTGTCCAGTTCGCTAGTGAGCTCGTTAGCCTTGGCGATGGCATTGTCAAACATGACTGTCTCGGTCAGCGCCATATAAGCTTTGCCTTCATGGTGACCGTGGTCAATGCGGCCTCCTGCAAGAAGGTCACATATAAGATACCAAACCCACCTTGATGGCCCTCATCGCTCCTCTGTTCCCCAAGGGGCTGCCACTCACCCTCCACGAAGAGGTAGAAGCCCCGGGGGTTCCTGCTCAGCACTCGCAGGGCCACCTCTGTCATCTCCTCCAGGGTCGGGTCCTTGGTGTGGTCTTGCTGAACATTATACTTCATGTCTGCCGGCTCAAAGAGGCCTGTGGGAAAGGAGAGCAGTGGTGACTCTCAAGCTGGTGATTGGGGTGGCCCATGGCACCCATCCCGGGGAGGACAGTGGTTGTGGGTCGGGTCGTTACCCATGAGATGTGTTACACTGGAGTCATTGGCCGCCTGAAGGAGCTCCGTGCGGTTCCACACATACTGGGCTCCCTGGGAGGGGCAGAACCAGGCTTCAGCCCATAGCCCGACACCCCAGGCCCAGCCCAGCTGTACCCCCTGCGCCCATGAGCCCCCATCACCTGGTGCTTGGCCTGCCACTCCTGCACCAGATTCCGCTTGTCCTTCCGGACTCCAGTCTGATTGACATCATATGGGTATTCAGGATCTGGGGTCCCCTCAGGAAACATGTACTTTCGGCCTCCACCCAGGATCACCTGGGGTCAGGATTAGGGCAGGTGGGATTGGGGCCTGGCTGGCCCTTTACTCCTCTCACACAGCCCCTACCTCCCCCACCAGGTCTGTAGGTATCGCCTGTCCCCACCTCCTACATGGTGCCACCTCACCACACATACACACACATGAAGCCATGGAGACCCCAAAGACCCCAGGGCTGGAGGTTGCCTGGGACTGTGTTGAGAGTGTGCCCCACCACTGGTGCCCAGCCCTGCCCCGTGTCCAACATGTCGCACATCAATATCCATGTTGTTGACCAGTTGTGTGGCGATGTCCTGGCAGCCATACGTCTGTGCATCGGCAGGCAGGTCAGCGTCTGAATACCAGTCTCGATTCACAACGTGCGCATAGGCCCCGGCTGGGGAGGCGTGCTGCACCCTGGTGGTGGTCACCACTCCCACTGACTTCCCTGAGGGTGGCAGAGGTCATGGTGGGCCACTGAGGTCTCTGAACCTGTCCCTGCCCAGGATGCTGACTCCCAAGCCCACCTGCTTTCTTGGCCCGGTTCATCACAGACGTGACCTCATTCCCACGTGTCGTGTTGCACTGGTTGTACCGGGCGGCTGCACTTACACCGATGGTTCTGTAGTTGCCCTTGACCCCACACAGGTAGGCGGTGGCAGTGCCTGCGCTGTCTGGCACCTGTCTGTCCACGTTGTATGTCTGGGGGCAGAGATGCCTTCAGCTCTGCTGGGGTAGACACCCAGCTCCTGACCCACGCCCTGGGCCCATCCTCAGAGCCCCTGGCCCCTAATTCAGCCCCCAACCCTCTTGGGGCTTTCCCTCCTACCCTGCTCCCGAGGCCCACACCCACCCCTCTGGTGTAGACCACCCTGAGGTCACTTGGCCCTTACCTTGGACAGAGCCACGTATGGGAACTGGTCCATGGCCAGGGGTGTCTCAGGTCCCGGCTTACCATTCATCTGCCCCTTTAGGATCCGAGTGGCTGTCACCGTAGGCACCCCCATCCCTGAAGGTACACACTATGTCAGGTTTGAGTCCCCGGGGCCAGCCTGGTCAGCCAGCAGCTCAGGGTTCCAAGGTGGTGGGGAAATGGGGTGGACTGGCTTAGCGCACTCACCGTCCCCCAAGAAGAGGATGACATTCTTGGCAGCTGTCTGGATGGGCTGCAGCTTCTTAGCCACATCAAGGGCCTGGGCTGCCTGGCGGTTCCAGAAGGCGGGGTCTTCCTCCTCAACTACCCAAGGGGAGAGTGGAGGTCAGGTCAGCCTGGGGCGGCCCCCTCTGAGTAGGGGCTGCCAGGAGCTGCCTGATTACCTGGGATGAAACCGAGGGAGAGCTGTAGCTGCAGGCCCAGCAGCAGCAGCCGCACGCAGGTCCCCTGCATGGCTGTGTGATGGCGGAGGGTCAGGATGGGACCTGGGGAGGCTGGGTCTCGGGCAAGGCTGGGACACCAGGTACCAGCTGCAGCGCTGGCTACCCGGGCTTAAATCTAGATAGACTTTGTCCCTGCTGTAAAAGTCTCCGTGTCCCTCCCAGTGCCCCGGGTGGCCACACCCTGCCCCTCACCTGCCCTATGACTTTGAGCCCTGCTGCCAGGGGGACGTGGTGGGTGTGGCTGAGCCAGCAGGGGTCCTGAGAATTCAGGTCCCTCCCTCACAGGATGGTCCCCAACTGTCTCGTCTCCTCAGGGTGGGGTGGGGATTACCGTGCAGAAGTCTTAGGCCTGAGGAACATTTTCAAGGTCCTGACTGAGGCTCCTCCCAGCCCTCTGCTCACCAAGTCCTGTGGGAGAACCATCTCTCCTTCCTTCACGTGTTCAGTGTTTTCTGAGACTCAGCCTTGACCTGATTTGGTTCCCAGTGCTGAGGGACACAGCCTGGGCCAGGGGCCTTGGTTAGTTCCCTGGTGCCCTGAGGCAGAGTTCTATGGGGTGGCTTGTCTGCCCTGCCCCCTGCTCAGCTCCTCACCAGACTTGACCTGGGCAGGAGGTGTGGGCACTGGGCTAGTGGGGGCCCCTGGGAGCCTGGGCCCAGCTTCTCCTGTGGAGAAGGATGGGGCTGGAGGTGAGAGCGGAGCAGGGGCCTTGCCTGTGTCTTCAGTTCCTGAAGTGCTGGGTCTGCACCGCTGTTTGTGTTTGTGTGTGTGTGTGTGTGTAAGGTGCCTGAAATCAGTTGACAGGTGTGGGTCCAGTGCCCTGTAACTGAAGTTGACCTCTGCTCCATTGAACAGGTAAATGGAAGGCAGAGGTGCGTCTGTTCTCTCCACAGGCCACACACACTCACAGGAACAGCTTCTGATAAGGAGCTAAAAGGTTTCAGTAACCCCAGGTTGGGTTCAAAATCATTCCTCCCATCCAACACTTCTGAGTGTGTATCCCCAAGAATTGAAATCATGATCTGGAAGAGGTATTTGCACACTCACATTTTAGTAGAATTACTCACAGTAGCCAAGAGGTGCAAGCTACTCAACCATCCACAGCTGACAAATGTATAAGCAAAGCATGATATAACTCTGCAATGGAATATTGTGCTTAGTTGCTCAGTCATGTTTGATGGTTTTCCACACTATGGTCTGTAGCCTGCCAGGCTCCTCTGTCCATGGGGATTATCCAGGCAAGAATACTGGAGTGCGTAGCCATTCCCTTCTCCAGGGGATGCTCCCAACCCAGGGATGGAAGCCAGGTCTCCTACATTGCAGGCAGATTCTTTACCAGCTGAGCCAACAGGGAAGCCGTTTTTCTTGAGGGCCACACTAGTGGACCTCACGGGACCAGGGAGGTGACAGCCACCAGATGACCGCCTGGGCATCAGGCAGGGAGGTAGGAAGGGTGAGCACTGAGGCTCGTGAATGTCCCTCTGTTTTCAGGGAAGGTGAAAGCCTGGCTTTGGGGGAGGGGAAAACCTCAACTTGGTCCAGCTGCTGGCCTCACCTGGCCCTGCTGACTCCCTCGGGGTCCCTGAACTGCTGTCCTTCGGCCTTGCTCCTGCCCTCACCGCCTTTGATCTTTGCTCAGTGTCGGCCCCTCATCAGCCTCATTCTGACTTATTGATGTGAATCACCCACCTCCCGCCCCCTCCCCCCGCCCCCGCCCCATACACACAGACACACACTCTGTGCCCCCACCTAAGGGCTTTTCTTGCCACACGTATCACTCCTGTATCACACTTAGAACAGTTTATTTGAGGGCTGCTACCTCCCTCCCATGAAGGCGGGGCCTGTGTCCCCACCCCCCAGCTCCCCCGCTGCTCCTGGGATCCCCCAGCCTGGAAGGGGCACCGGGGCCCGCTCACAGCAGCTGAGGGACCTGGGACAAGTCTCCTCTCCTCTGTGTCGCTGTCTCCTCTCTCTAACGGTACCCTGGGTTCCTAGGAGGGGCTGCTGAGGGCTCTGTCCAAGGTCCGCCGCTCCTTGTTCCAGACATCTCCTTGTCCGTCTCCTTGGCCACAAGATGGGTTCCAGGAGGACCGGAAGCCACAGCTCCCCAGGAGCCACGCCTTCTCGGAAATCGTGCTGCCTCAGTTTCCACGCCTCCTAAGAAGCCACGCCTCCCGGAAACCCCGGAGTCCCAGGGTCTCCTTAAAGGCATGGTGTGGGTTCCAGCTGGGCCTGGGAACCCTGGGACCGTGCTAGCCTGGTTCTCAGGTGGGGCTGTGGGCAGTGGGGGGAGTCTGGATGGTCCGAGCCCCCTTACTGGGGTTCGGGGTGGCAGAACACAAAGTCCCAAGCCACTGAAGTTGGGGTCGGGCAGTAGGTCTACGGGTGTCACAGGGAAATCAGGGCCTCAGCCTCTGGGATGGGCTGGGCCATGAAGGGCTGTGAGCTGAGGCTCCTTCATTGCTGGAAGGTGAATCCTTCATTTCTGGGAGGTGAAGCTCTGCTAGTGGGGCCGGGTCGGGGATCCGGGAGTGGCCGCTAAGATAGGACTTCAGGGTGGGGACTCCGAGGTGGTAGCTCTGGTGGGGCTTGCTCTGGGAGATTTTGGGAAGGAGAGCGGGAAACCCCAAGACCTGGAGTTGGTGGGGGTCAGTACAAGGCGGGCGCCAGCAGCAGCAGCATCGCCCCGGCCAGCAGCGCCAGCAAAGGCGGGCTGGCCGCCAGGTGCGCAGCGTCGGAGAGGCCAGAGGGGGCCGGCAGATTGCAGTCGGTGTAGGGCTCCACGCAGCCCGCAAAGGCCATGACGTGCGCCACGAAGGTCTCCTCCTGCACGCCGTGCACCAGGTGCGCCTGCGGGCCTCGCGCAAACACCGCCACGTCCTCGCCCCCGTGGGACTCACTAGACAGGGGCACGGCCGCCTGCTGCTGGTACAAGGGGTCCTCTGGCCAGAAGGTAGGGGGTAAATGTAACAAGGAAAGCCGCCTTCCCCCCCCCTAGAGTTCCTGTGGCCAGGGTGGCCACTTCCCAGCGCCCCACCCACTACACTTACCGCTTATGCTATCATTAACATCGGGCCTTGAGCCCCCGCCAAGCACGTAGCCAGGGCCATTGCCATAGAGGATGGAGGTGTAGGACTTGTTGTCTGAGGCCTTGCTGGGGGCCAGACCTGCAGGGAAGAGGGGACCCCGTGATCACACTGACCCCAGCCTTTGGGGTGCCTCCTGTGTGCAGAACCCAGGCAGGTCTTGTCTGTTCAGTGACTTAATCCTCACCAGAGCAATCCAGGGCAGTTGACAGATGAGGAAACTGGCTCAGAGCACTTTGTGCCTCGTAANGGACCAGCTTAGCTCACTCACCATCCCCCAAGAAGAGGATGACATTCTTGGCAGCTGTCTGGATGGGCTGCAGCTTCTTAGCCACATCAAGGGCCTGGGCTGCCTGGCGGTTCCAGAAGGCGGGGTCTTCCTCCTCAACTACCCAAGGGGAGAGTGGAGGTCAGGTCAGCCTGGGGCGGCCCCCTCTGAGTAGGGGCTGCCAGGAGCTGCCTGATTACCTGGGATGAAACCGAGGGAGAGCTGTAGCTGCAGGCCCAGCAGCAGCAGCAGCACACCAGCCCCCTGCATGGCTGTGTGATGGCGGAGGGTCAGGATGGGACCTGGGGAGGCTGGGTCTCGGGCAAGGCTGGGACACCAGGTACCAGCTGCAGCGCTGGCTACCCGGGCTTAAATCTAGATAGACTTTGTCCCTGCTGTAAAAGTCTCCGTGTCCCTCCCAGTGCCCCGGGTGGCCACACCCTGCCCCTCACCTGCCCTATGACTTTGAGCCCTGCTGCCAGGGGGACGTGGTGGGTGTGGCTGAGCCAGCAGGGGTCCTGAGAATTCAGGTCCCTCCCTCACAGGATGGTCCCCAACTGTCTCGTCTCCTCAGGGTGGGGTGGGGATTACCGTGCAGAAGTCTTAGGCCTGAGGAACATTTTCAAGGTCCTGACTGAGGCTCCTCCCAGCCCTCTGCTCACCAAGTCCTGTGGGAGAACCATCTCTCCTTCCTTCACGTATTCAGTGTTTTCTGAGACTCAGCCTTGACCTGATTTGGTTCCCAGTGCTGAGGGACACAGCCTGGGCCAGGGGCCTTGGTTAGTTCCCTGGTGCCCTGAGGCAGAGTTCTATGGGGTGGCTTGTCTGCCCTGCCCCCTGCTCAGCTCCTCACCAGACTTGACCTGGGCAGGAGGTGTGGGCACTGGGCTAGTGGGGGCCCCTGGGAGCCTGGGCCCAGCTTCTCCTGTGGAGAAGGATGGGGCTGGAGGTGAGAGCGGAGCAGGGGCCTTGCCTGTGTCTTCAGTTCCTGAAGTGCTGGGTCTGCACCACTGTTTGTTTGTGTGTGTGTGTGTGTGTAAGGTGCCTGAAATCGGTTGACAGGTGTGGGTCCAGTGCCCCGTAACTGAAGTTGACCTCTGCTCCATTGAACAGGTAAATGGAAGGCAGAGGTGCGTCTGTTCTCTCCACAGGCCACACACACTCACAGGAACAGCTTCTGATAAGGAGCTAAAAGGTTTCAGTAACCCCAGGTTGGGTTCAAAAGCATTCCTCCCATCCAACAATCTGACTTCTGGGTGTGTATCCCCAGCAATTGAAAGAAGATCTGGAAGAGGTATTTGCACACTCACACGTTAGCAGTGTTATTCACAGTAGCCAAGAGGTGCAGGCAACTCAACCATCCAGAGCAGACGAATGGATGAACAATAACTCTACAATGGAATATTGTGCTCAGGTGCTCATTTGTGTATTACTCTTTTCCACTTTATGGACTCTCTGTCCATAAAGTCTGTCCAGACTCCTCTGTCCATGGGGATTCTCCAGGCAAGAATACTGGAGTGGGTTGTCATGCCCTCCTCCAGGGGATCTTCTTGTCCCAGGGATCGAATCCAGGTCTCCCGCATTGCAGATGGATTATTTACCAACTGAGCCACCAGGGAAGCCCCAATGGAATATTATGCTGCCTTCAAAAGCAAGGAACGTTTGATACCTCTTATTACGTGGATGAACCTTGAGGACATGATGCTCAATGATGTAGTTGTGGTTGTTGTTTATTTGCTAAGTTGTATTTGACTCTTTTGGCATCCCATGGACTGTTTCCTGCCAGGTTCCTCTGTCTATAGTAATTTCCAGGGGATCTTTCTGATTCAGGAATCAATCCCATGTCTCCTGCATTGGCAGGTGGATTCTTCACTGCTGAGTCACCAGGGAAGTCTCAGTGAAGTACGCCAGTCACAAAAAGACAAATACTATGTGGTTTTACTTCATTAGGCATCCCAAGTAAGCTCTTTGGAAGAAAAGCCAAGAGAAACCTAAACAGTGTATTAAAAAGGCAGAGACATTACTTTGCTAACAAAGGTCCATATAGTCAAAGCTATGGTTTTTCCCATAGTCACATATGGATGTGAGAGTTGGACCATAAAGAAGGCTGGGCACTGAAGAATTGATGCTTTTGAATTGTAGTCCCTTGGACTACAAGGAGATCAAACCAGTCAATCCTAAAGGAAATAAACCCTGGATATTCATCGGAAGGACTGATGCTGAAGCTGAAACTCCAACACTTCGGCCACCTAGTCTGAAGAGCTGACTCATTAGAAAAGACCCTGATGCTGGGAAAGATGGAAGGTGGGAGGAGAAGGGGACGACAGAGGATGAGATGGCTGGATGGCATCACCGACTCAATGGACATTAGTTTGAGCAAGCTCCAGGAGAAAGTGAATGACAGGGAAGCCTGGTGTGCTACAGCCCATGGGATCACAAAGAGTCGGACAGGACTGAGCAACTGAACAACAACAAAGACATCTCAAGCAGTCAAATGATTAGAAATGGAAAGTCGGATGGTGGCTGCCAGGAGCTGAGAGGAGGTGGGAACTGAGGAGTTATTTAATGGATACAGACTTTCAGCTTTGCAAAATGACCAAGTTCTGGAGATCTGGGGCCAACCATGTGAATAGGCTTAGCACCACTGAACTGTGTCTTAAGAATTGTTATGATGGCAACTTCTATGTTGTGCTTTTTTAAAATCACAATTAAGAAGTTCTTTTCAAAAGGAAAAAACCCTTCCTCCCTGCCTCACCCACCCCAGTGGACCTGGGTAGCCCCCTCCCCACTGGGGCCCCCTCATCCCTGAACCACACTGCGCTGGCCACCTGCATCTTTCTGTCTAGCTGCCTCCCCAGGTGCCCTCCCCTCAGGCAGAGCTTCCAGGTTCCTGCTCCTTGACATGCTGTCCCACCCACTCACCACACTGACCCAGGTTACCCTCCAGGTCCCAGAGGACCTGCCCGCTGGGGGGCTCCTTCCTGCCTCTGTCCCCCACCCCACAGCTGCCTCTGTCCCCCACATAGTCCTGTGCTCAGAGAATTCTTGGCTAAAGGTCAGGAGAGACTAATTCCTGGGCAGGCCCTTAATTAATTGATTGCTTCTTTTGACCAGGATGTAGGTTAAAGGTTTGTTATTCCCCTATTAGTCTTGAGTTCCCAGCCCCCCCCCCCCACCTTTTTTTAAAAATTTGGATGTTTGATCTAACTGTAGATTCACATGTGGTTGCAAGAAATAATACAGTATGCTTGTATGCTTTCTTCTATTCTCTCTCATGGTACAATTCACAGATTTTCACATTTCTATTCAGAGTCTGCCATTTTACGTGTTCTTACATGGGTGTGTGGATTCTGTACATCTTATCACACGTGTGGGTTCATGTAAACACACCACAGTCAGGATACTGAGGAGCTCCAAGCCCTGGGCCCTTTTATGACCACTTCACCTTCTGACCCTAACACCTGTCCTTTTGTCCTAGAATTTTGTCACTTCAAATAAGTTACATGAATGGGATCGTGCAGTATTTGGTGTTTGTCTTTTTCATTCAGCCTGATTCCCTGGAGATTCACCAGAGCTCCTTTATGCCACTGGCCAGTGTCTGAGGGTGAGTGGATTTTAGGGCATGTTTAACAATTCTCATGTGCAAGGACCTCAAGGCTGATCTAGTTTTGCCTGTTAATTCAAGCTGCCACAAATCTTCAACGACAGGTTTTTCTGTGAACATTTCATTTCCTTCCCTTTCTCTGGGATACATGCCCAGGAGTGGAATTGCCAGGTCATATGGTTGTGTACATGTAGTTTGGTTTTTGTTTTGTTTTGTTTTTGTCTATTAAGAAATTTTCACCACTACCTCCCCCCCAAAATAAACAAAAACAGAGGAACTGCCAAACTATTAGCAGAGTGGCCGCACAACTTTGGATTCCATCAGCAGCACCTGAGGGATACCGTTTCTCTGCATCCACACCACCATCAGGTATTGTCACTGTCTTTAATTTTAGTCACAATGACAGGTGTGGAGTGCACAGTCTCTTTGAATATTCTTCTTATGATGACATTAAGTGATCATCAGCTATGCTCCTGCTTGATTTCTTGTGAATTTTGTCCTGGGCCTGAGCAGGACCTGAGACCAGACACAAACCACATGTCATTGCAGCAAATAAAAATGTTTGTCCAAGTTCCCACCAGGGCACCTGGCTCCCCTGTTCTGGGCCCGAGTCACCTGAGTGAGATGAGAGGCTCTTATGCTCCCTCCCCTGGGGCCCAGGGATGACCAGGCAGCAGGCAGCGTGGCTTCTGCTCTGCAGTAAGAGATAACACCTCCAGTCCTGCACTCTGGGGTTATGGATGCCTGGGGCCAGGGGATGGCCAGCGCCATGGAGCCTGCTCTGTGGGGGATGGTTATCCCGGTCTCTCTGTTCTCTGGGAAGAAGGCATAGTCCTGTGGGGTCTCATCTGGAGCCCAGCACCTTCTACCGTTGTCCCCATTTACCACCCTGGGCTCTCTGGGTCCTGTCCCAGCTCCTAGCATGCGGCCCACTGCAGGCACTGCCAGCAGGGGGCAATGCGGAGCCCACAGCAGCACCAGGGGATCCCTGGGGGGATGTCTCCTGCCTGCGTCCTGCCCACCCAATCTCAGGATGTTCCCTGAGACGTAGTGACAGTCCTGTCACTCAGATGAGAGCAGGGCAACAGCTGGGAACAGGAAGGCTTTGATCATTGATACCCCGCCCCCAGTCCCCACACTCCAGAAATTTGCAGAAATGGAGGCTCCCTTTCTAGGGCAAGTGCTCCCTGGACCCTCCTCCCCACCTTT